GTGGGTGAGTGATAGTCTGCTTTGACTTTTGCCACAAGTACCTTGAGAGCAGTGGTTGGTGCCCGCCTCAGGGTATCAGTTGTCGGGCAGTCGTTGATGCTTAACCACAGCCGGGGTTAAGGTGGATTATCACTTACAGTGTAATCAGTTAGGGGATTCTGCAGACTGTTGAGGGTTCAGCCTCCTGATGAGTCGGTGAAACTCCGACGAAACAGTTTGCCACAGCCCCTCGTTTGTTGTCCTCTTCTCCCTCTCTGCCTACGGTTTACCGGGCAGCTCTGTTTGACTATATACACATTCATCAGATAGTATAATGTCGTCCAATTGCACAAAGAAATGAATGAACTTGAGAGGAGAGAGAGGGTAAGAAGAAGAAGAAGGAAGAAAGAAGAAGGAAGAAAAAAGAAGAAGGAAGAAAGAAGAAGAAGATGATGTATACCAGCATAGACAAATGACAAAGCTCTTCTTCTTCGCCCAACACTCTCCTCTTCCTTTACTCGTCCTCTCTTATTCATACAAGAAATAATAGTACAATGTTGAATGTGCGAGGCACAAGGCCTCGATATGCCCTACAGGGCCTTATTTTCAACACAGTCGGCCGCCCTAAGTGAAGGCAGGCTCGACCGAGGCCTACAGGCCCTTTTGGGGTCACCACACGACTGGGGAAATCCAGGCAGTTGCGCAGCGCCAGTTGGTTGAGAGCGCCCAGGCCCAGGCTGCCTCCTACGAATGTAACTGAGGCAGGCCCTGGGCCAGATTCGCTACATGGACTGAACACAGGCCGCGGGCAGTTGGACATGGGCAACCACCACAGGCCCAGGGCCTGTTTTGTTTGGACTGGGGCTCAGCCTCTTTGGGCCTGCCGGAAGCTTCTGGGCAGGGGCCCATCACAGCCAGGCTGCACGCAAGCAGGCAGGCCACTTCCATTTAGGAAAGGGCCTGCCCACACATTTGGCATTCGGGCACTGGCTGCATGCTGCGCAAGCGCTGCTGCGCTAACGCTGGCCAGCGCTCATGCGCTCACGGGCGAGCTGGAAGGAGCAGGCAGCCATAGCCAAGCTGCGCTGCTGTATGGTGGATGGGGCACATGGTGGTTCTTGGGTGCAAGTGGCATCTGTGAGTTGGGGATCGAGGTTGTGAGTGATACGAGAGACATACCTGGTGTTTGAGGCGAACGGCATTAGCCGAGATCTGCTCGTACTTGGGGAGCTGTTGACGTCATCAGCGACATTGTAGATAGGCTAGATAGGATCTTCCATCTGTAGTCTGGGCGCCGAGCGCCAGATAGGATATCGACATTGGTTCTTCGTTGATGATGATGAGACCATTCCAGCATTGTCAATTATGAGCTTTTGCTGTGCTCTTATTTGGTTGAACTCGTGATGCAATTCTGCTATTGGTTCGAGGTCACGACTATCTGGTCTCATGTGTATGATGCTGTTTGATTTCTGAAGTTCGCTATCGCTCGTTTTCCTTGCAAATGGCTGATCCAGAATCAAGTCCGAGTTCCTCTTCTACTGCAGGTATCACTTGAGGTCCACCATAGCCATGGCCGCCTCCCTCACTCTTCACTCTCATAGGCGGAGGCTATGGCGGACTACTTGGGCCTTGCCCTGCTGTGCAAAGGACAACGCAAAGCAGCTATGGCTGCCCTAGCTCAGGCCGCCATGCCTGACTCTGCCTCGAAGCTTCTTGGTGTAGCTCTCCTGTTACATCTTCGACGCCACACGGGTCCTACCGGACCCGACTTAGGGCTAGAGGGACACATCAGGGCCTAAAGGCCCGACCTTGGGGGATAACAGGCCGAAAGGCCACGACTTGGACCCGATTATGGACCAGACCCAAACGACATTTCGTCTTTGGGCCTGGCGGCGCCGTTTGAGGCTGCCTCTCTCCGGTTGGACCTGAATCGTCGATCTGGACGGTTCAGCCCCAACCAAGGCCTCGCAGCATTGAGGCCGGTCCTCTTC